GTGGGATAGGGAAAACCGCCTTTCCGCGCACCAGTGTCTCTTAACAACCTGTACATCGCTACAGGGAAGGAAGGGGAGGGAGCGGCGGTGATCAACTTTTTTTTTAGTCAGAAATTCCTTCTCACGCTCAGACACGACAGCCATTGAAACTCGATTGTTGAAAATTACAAGACGAGTTGTAGTTGGTTTGAAAATTTTTTGATAGTAAAATATGAACTGCTTCTGTTAAATCTGACGCATAGGATTATTTTTTTGTCGGCACATCTATTAAATAGTTTGTTATTAAAGTTGTGATACTCTTTTTAACACGAACTACTGGAGAGGGGGGGGGACTGACACGAAATGGTATACATAAACAAGAAAAGATGCATATCCGATTATAATATATGAGCTGCAGTAATATACAACTTCAAATTTTGCACATTATTGTAAACACCAACTTCAGATAACCCTTCTCTGTATTAACTTATTATTATTCATGTATATAAGTATAGGAATTTTCCAAGTATTAACCAGAAGACAACCAAAAGCTAGTGTACTCGCCGAGTGGATGTTCACTCGGTCATGCAGATTTATATCATCACCGGGTAAACATTCATCCGGGATCTGAACACACAAATCTTCGGCATCTACAATGTCTCCATCTGGTGGTAGAGAAGCAAATTATAGTCTTAATGTGTTTTTTTTCCAAGTTTGTTTTTTAATTTGACCTCTTCGTTAGTATTTAAGCCTGGTAGAGAAAGCCAGCGTGGATATATGAATGTACAGAGAACAGTAGTTACTTTGAGTTCCTTGTAATTTATGATTCTGTTAGTTTCGAGCTGGTGAGCCGTAAAGTGTGTGTTTTGCACTTGTCGAGAGCGATGTTATCGAGATTGTGTAGAGCTGTGATTTATAGCGTGTATTGTAGAAGTTGTTAAGTTTAAAAGTGACGAGAAACGTACTGATTGTGGAACTTCAGTGTACTAAACGTTATATCGAGGAAGAATAACTGGTTTAATCAAGAAGGGACTTGTATCGCTGAAGATCCTCTGAAAGAATTTCTACTGGAAACAAGCAAATATGTGACAGTTCATTACCAGTCCTTGCCGTCATCATGTACTCCTAACAAGGTCCAAACGCAACTATGGAGAATCAGTTAAGGATTAGGAGTTGTGCTTAAACCTACGACGTCTCAACTACTGCCTTCCGCTGTCTGCAGCCAGTTGTGGGAAGGCAGTTACCCTTAATATTTAGATATAACCTTAAAGTAGAAATAAACCACATTAAATTTCTAAAATTGTAAAACTCCCAACATCCACCTTTTTAAATATAAGATGTGCAAATTGTCCCAACAAATAAGCAAATGTATTCTTGTAGTTCAAATAAACCACCATATATTTCTACTCCCAGCCTCCGTCCTTTTTAAACATTTATTACAAAATGTTACTAAAAAGTAATTTTATAGCATCAAAGTCATCAAGTTTTCACTTGCGTTATGGACCTGGTGGGTTATTATCAGAACTGCAGCTGCTGGAGAAGTTGACTAAAATACTGTGAAGTTTCATCTGCATCAGAAGTTTAGTTTACAAGAAGAAGAAACAGAATTTATTTATACCCAGTAGGTATACTCTTGAAGACATTAATCAACTTTTTGTAAAATTAATTAAACATTTAAAAAATATTGAATATTGTTTCTTGTAATATACTGACTAAAAATTTTATAAACATAGATAAAAATTAAATAGAAACTAATTGAAACAACAGTTTTGATTTTGTTGGCTCATAACGAACAATTCTTACGGCCCTTGGAAAGCAAAGACTCATTTTCGTCACTTTTACACATTAAGACGTTGTTGATCTTGTAATATGATTTTCATTTATTTTAAGTCATCTGCTTTATTTTTAATTTTATTATTCCGTAAGGTAAATGTATTGTAAACCTTCAGTTACATTTAGTATCTCGGTGCCTTTCATCAATATTAAGCTTAAGGTGAATCAGAATCTCGTACACCACAAACATGGCTTTTCCAAAACCTATAAACTAAATGCCCCCACTTAAACAATTCAGTACTGTAGTTTCTGGTTTGGGTAAGTATTTACTAATAAAATTAAATCTGGATACCCTCATGGTTAGGTTTGGTTTAAAACTATTCGGTTTCAAAATGACTCTGCAACACTTTTTTCCCATCAAAATTTGCTATTTCAGGAAGTTCATTATGACCAGATCGACAGTCTTAGCATGGGATATCAAGTTTCACCTGTTTTAGCTAAAAGACAGAAGTTGTAAAGTGAAGCAGCAAGTTTCGATCAATTAAAAACGCGATTGCTGTTGGTAGAGAAGACGTACAAACGGTCCTGTTAGGATATCGGACATCCACAATCTAGATGAGACTGGTTTACACTAAAAGGCGGCGATTTCAATGTAGAAAAAACAAAGATTGCATAACAGTTGTTTGAGCAAGTGACAAATTGTAGCCATTTTGATTGTGGAATGTAAGTGGCCAAGTAATTTCAATCGCGATTGAAGGTTCAGGACGAATATGAATGGTTGGATGACCGCATTGTTCTCGGAATGGCAACGGTATGGTGATCCACCAATCCAGCCTAATGTGAAGTAATGTATTCTCAACTGGGAAGTTTCGAAAAAGAATTCAGTTCAAAAAATATTATTCTGTGGAAAGTGAATTCTTTTTTGTACATTTGACCTTTACGGCGTATCTTGGTATTATGTAATTGGTTTGAATAAAATATTTTATAAGGAAATGCCACTAATTATGTAATTTGTGTAATTATCGACGATATACAGAACAACAATAAACCGATAAATTTATTGTATACTTATTTTGAACACTTACATTTACCGATCGATAGTCCATGCTATGAACAAGTCTCCATTGTATTCAAAGTGACTTAATTCCAATACCCGGATGTCTCCGTAATCACGACGAATTGGTTCATTACAACTGTCGATCACAGAGGTTTCAATTTAGTTATAAATATGTTCTAAATTTGTATATTTAACGTACGTCATGTTCAAATTGTCTTTAGCCAGTCAAAGAGCCCATAAATTTGAATTACTCCAATAAATATTGGAGTAACCCCCAAAGCTTGTTTTTTAAAAAAAACTTTCTTTAAACTTGCACTGTATGCTTTGTATAACAGAACAGCCAAGACACTACTTATGTCTAAAAATACCAGTCTTAGTAACGTTTCTAAATTTTTCCTCGTCGTATTTTCCTTTGCAGAAATCACGCGATATTCGAGGGTTTAGGCAAGAGAGTCTAATGACACAACATCGAAATAAAAAGTATGTAATGACAGTTTCGTGCAATTGTTTCTATTACGCCTGATCAGTAGCTCGAAACGTCGCTTAAATACATTTTAACTCGTTATGCATTGCGATATAATACTTGTACCTTAATATCGCCATTTGTATGTTAGTAACTGAAAACAATCACTTTGTTCTCAAACATTTCTCGATGTAAAACGAAGTTTACTACAAGTTCTGTAAGGTTGGTAATAATGAACACTACATTAGGGGTAGGGAGTTGTAGTAAACCTTTGTAAATATCAGCAGAATCCTACTTCTCAATTTGCAGCATTCCAACGCCAAAAACCCTGTATATACGTACTTAAATGTTTGATTCCAAAGCCACTGGCAGTGGACTATATTTTTTAATAAGAACGGGTGGTATTTTATGTAGAATTGAGCAAATTACTAAGATCCACTTGTCTTTAGTAATTTGAATTAATTTTGCGATAAATAACTACTACGATTTATGATGTCTTAATGTCTATACAAAATGATAAAACCACAATAACCCGAGGTACTTCGAAAGGTGGACATTTTTTCAGAGGCAAATTGGGAATGGTGGTGTAATCGAATGAGTGATAAAGGGAGTTGAGTGACGTCATCTGGTCTTCCAAGAAATGTTTTTTCAATGTTCTGTTATATATTTCATTTCCGTTACAATGTGAAGCGATGAGAGTTTGGGATATTTTGCTTTAGAAGTTGTTAAAAAAATGAAATAAAAAATACACTTACGTGTTTAAGCAAGATAAAGGCGACATCTGATTGAAAGAGATGCTAAGCTAATTGAAATTCGATGACCAGGAACCCACTTTGAGACTAATAATGGCTGGAGACGGCTTGAATGGGTAATGAAGAGAAACTTTAATATAACAGCAAATGTACAACGTACCTGATGATAAAACCTTGTCGAAACGTTGTACATTTGCTGTTATATTAAATGTTTTTCTTCATTACCCATTCAAGCAGTCTCCAGCCATTATTAAGCTAATTGATTTATGCAAACGAGTATGGACAATTAATCTAAGAGTTCACGCTGAATGAAAAAAATAAGCAAAGACTACAAATTTTTCTGACACGAGGTGAAACCAGTGATAGGAGATCACCGATTTGAGGATCTAGATTGAATTCACTGTCTTGTCATTTTAGCGTTGATAACAGTGAAAATTACCGATACATTTATAAAGGACACTTTTCTTATTAAGTTTATTGCATTGCTTATACCTCCCTAACCGTGTTTAAACACTTTATGATAATATTTTGTTTCATATCCCCACTGCTATTAAGTACTGTTATGATAATTTGTATTCTTCGTGAGATTTACACGCGATAACAAAACGATCTAAAAACATCCGAATAATCTAAATATGTGGTTGTTAAAACATCTTCTGGCGATAAAAATTTTTAGAAAAAGTTGACAAAAAAAAACTGCTTTTTTTCTCCTACAGCAATTTCTGTACTTTTAGACAGCCATTAAAGTATTGAAGAAACTTAAAATACCCTCCCCGAATATCGGTGTGCAAGTGGAAACACTTTTCAGGTTAACTTCTGGAAATGACCAATTTTTCTCTAATGTCAAAACCATAATTTATATAAATTTTTATGTAAAATGAACCGTAACTGCCCAGATTGTCAACAGGTGTAGACACCAATAACCCAATCGTTAAAACTTTTATTTAAAAAAAAATCATTTCCCAATTTCCAGCAATAAAGGAGAACAAATTATTTTTATTTAAATTATTATTTTATCTTGAACACATTTTCACTACACAACCAAACTTTACTAGAACAAAAAAAAATTACAAGCCTTACATAGTTAGAATTTGGAAGTTTCACGTTATTAGACTTTACATTAAACCAAGATTACACCAACATTTTTATAACACTACTTAAAACAACATAAAAGCAATTATTTGTATAAATAACCTCAGAACACTTTTAGTCGAGACTTTCTAATAACGGGTTAGCCCAAGTGACTACATAAATAATTTAACAACTTAATACAATCAAGTGGCAGAATTTCACCCATAAAAACTGCTGACCAGATATAGTTGTCTACAGAGGGTTATGTATTTGTACACGTAATAACTTAGCTACCACCACTTGTACATGGGATGACTATTAATCATGACTGACAAGCACTATACTGAAAAAACAAATTCAAGCTTACTGTTTTGCTTCACAATGATTTACACTAACAGCACTACACCTTGTACTTCTCCATTATCAAACTTTTTTTTTTATCAATTGAAGTATTTTCTAATACCCTGGAAGTTTATTGTTCTCCAAAAAAGGCAACATATATTATCAATACCAGCTAGAATTTTAACAATTAAAATCATACAATGTACAAAGCAGAATACATGAAAGACCGCTTGATGATGCTGGGCAAACTGGCTGGCACACTTTCAAACTGACAAAATGCCAGCTTATACTGAAATATTAAAACAAATCACATGACCAGACAAATTCAGAGAATCATGTAAGTCTGTTTAGTATACCCATTTTTGTAATTTAAGACTTGCTGTAAGTGTTTTACAATTCTAATGACTATGCTAGTGTTTTATGAAACAATTTTCATTTAATGAAAAAAGGCTTTATTGTTTTTGAAGTTTGCAGCAGAAAAGAGGGAATGCGCACGAGAAGATTAGTTTTCTTGAGTATCTGTTGGCTCCTCTCCATCCCCTTGTGTGTCAGATGTCCATAACTAAAAAACAAAAGAAGTATCTGAATTATCCTGAAAACAAACGTTACTATTATGTACATGTTGATTCAGAAGTCCACTGATAAGATAAATAATTCAGAAATAGTGAAATATATAAAAATTGTTATTAGTACCGAATGAGGGTTTTGGATCTACCATGTTAACAACTATCAGCAAGGTCACAGAAATTTTCTTAATGTACATCATATGTGAATGGTAACAAAGTAAATTATAACAAGTTAAACATTGATAACCAAATTCAAGATACAAAAATATCAAAATACAATTTGAAATGTTACACAAACCAAGGTTCAAAGTGTGATGTCAGAATTTTGCAATATTGGGTCACCATACCTTTGGAGAGTTCAAAAGGTTAAAAAGTATGAAAATAAGATCCCCCTACACAAGGTAGCACATAAGCACAGTGCTGTAGTTTTACTAAAATTAGTTATTATTATATAAGGCTTGGGATTCCACTAGATTGTAGGCTAAGTGGGCAGATAAAGAACAGTTTTCAATATTGGCAGTAAAGCTTCCATATTACCACAACTGGACCACCATTTTATTAATACTGCCTAGATGCTCATCTCATTTATAATTATAACTTTAATTAGTAATTAGTCAATTTAAAATGATTAATTTGTAATCGTCTGTGCCTTTGCATTTAACACATGATACACATTAATAAAAGTTTTAGAAGCCCTCAATAATATCACAAGCTTACAAGACCTCATTCCATTTCACCCAATGTGTGTTTAATTATATACATTCTTATATCATTCCCTGCTAAGCAGTTACTTATGAACAATAAAACAGGTTATTTTAGAAGTACATTTCATTGTACTGCTGTATTAAATAACTGCCTTCTAGTTGTATGTATGAGGTTACTACTAGTAGCGGGATTGAGTAGACAAAATTTCAGATGAAACCCAAGACAGACTCTAAGAGAATGTTAGTGAAAATGTTTATTTTAAGAGAAATTCTCATTTTTACCACTATTCCAGTCATATTAATTCCATCATGACACTACTATCTTTAGGTTTCTTCCTAGTCTCTAAGTTACACAGTCAAGCACAAGGTCTGTAATCAGCCCCTACTTAACAGTCCATGGTGGCCGTTTACAAAATAGGGCAATAAGAGTTGATTTATATTGACTGAATTGTACTGCTGTTAAACTCAGATGTGGTAGTAGCATGCCACTGAACTATGATGACCTTTGATTAATATGGCACCCTTTGCACTTTCATCATACAGAAAGTTCATCAAGTGGAATGAGGTTCATGATCAAATATGCTAAGACTATTCTCGCAAGTCTGAATTTAATAATAATTAATATCCAGTTTTGTAATTTAAACTTTAAAACATTGACTTAGTTTCTCAGTAACAGTATTACTGCACATCACTAGTCTAGGCCAATTAATGTATCAGTCATAGCAACCAACAGGGTCACATGAAGTTATCTGAGAGCTGTTCTGTGTACATAAGAGGATCAGAGTTAAATTATTTCTTGGTAAAAATAAATGGACCAGTACTGGGCCCAGATGTCATGAGACTTAACAAGGTGCTCTAACAAACCCTCACAAAACTCAATTTATAGACACTCTTGAACATTAAGGTAATGGTGCCTGTGAAAGGGAAGGACTGTTGATAGTTTTTTTTTTAATAGTTGGTAGGAAAAGCCCCACTTTCACCTATTCCCAGTTATATGTAATACATATACAGAGAGAAATTGATGATTAAAAATATATTGCCCGTTCCTTCCTTGAAGTTTCCCGACTGCCACTGCTTTGGATTTAGGCTCTTCTGCTATTCAATAAACCTACAATGCCCTTCACTAACAGTCTGCTATGATATAGGAAACAAATAGGCACTACAAATTCCAGATAGAGCCTACTTTAAAACATCTTTAACAACACTCTCAGTTCATTAGCATGAAAGATAATAAATTTATTCCAACTTTACTTACTGTGAGGTTATCTCTAAGAAGCTGCATTATGAGTGTACTATCTTTATAAGAGTCTTCATTCAGTGTGTCTAATTCTGCAATGGCATCATCAAATGCCTGAAAGAAAACAACAAAAAATTAATATAAGATTATGAGGTGAGCAGAAGTCAGTGTGAGTTTAGAACAGATAAGAAAAAAAAAGTTTAAAACAAAGCTTCAAAAATATATTTACAAACCATGTGCTAGTAACAACTCTCACAAGAATAATATGATACAGTGATCCTAAACAAATAATTATTTTTACAACTGTTTCCTGTGTTGTCTAGTTGATTTCATATTTAATGTATTAATGTACTTTATAATCAGGCTGGTGGTAGCAGTCTATGTAAGGATGGCTCAGACTGTTCATCGAAATGATATTTTAATAATCTCTTCAAAAGGTCACCAGAACTTTACAATACCATACATTGTTTTCATTTATAACAATGTATATATGTTTTGGGAATGTCTGTAAATATCATAGCAAAAAGTTTGAATTTCTTGTTGTTCTTTCTTTCTTTACATAACTCAAAACCAAAATAATGGTGTCAACTAAATTCACTGAGGTGACAATTTCAAATAGAGTATCTACTTTTGTAAGTAATATTAACTAGGAGTAATTTTTAAAAAATCGCAAGTCTAGTGTAAACAATGTTATCATTACCCCTTGAAGCTAGCTTTCTTACAGGAATTTGGTGTTTCTTTAAAAAGCTTAATTACAGGGTGAAACAAGGATTACCTGCCAATAACGGATAAACAATATTACAGTTGGAACCTCATTGTAATAAGAAAACTGGTTATAAATACAACTTTCTTATGTCTATTGAAACACTGCTTTAAAAAACAACACTAATAATGATGCAAATTCCATCCCTACTATCTTGTTTGCATTTTTTTTTTAAGGATTGATACTAGCCATACCTACATGTACTCCTCTTTTTGAAAATTTGTATTTACCTGTACATTTTACAATTCTTTCACAATCTGTTATGTTTTCAAGTTTAATTCATTTACAGAAAATACAACCCTTTTTCACAACTGCATTTTGCTTAACCATAAAGTAAGAATAACTTTTAAAATGTATAAAGCTTTGTTGTGATTATTATAATTACTTCCACAAAACTAAAGAGACAGAAGTCACTATTTGCCACAGTATAAGAAAACTTTCATGTAACAATGAGGTTACAGAATTATGTACAACATGCTAATTAATACAACCATTATTGATTTAAGATATTCCAATTATTATTATTCCATCTTCATAAACACTGTTATGGACCTTTTCAATATAATTATTTCTTAAATAATTGTGGCAGTTAAGTTGATCATTCAGCCAGACCTATAAGTTTGTGTTCTGTTGGTTAGAGATGGTTTAAACAAACTCTGTCAGTCTAGATTTAATAATAACTGGCTGGAAAAATAAAGGAAAAGCTATAAATTGAAATACCAATTATGCATACTTAGTCAATTTTGAGAAAATAAACACTACGCAATGACAAAGCCTTTATAACATTATTATTGTATCACTTTTGTAGATGTTAGTGTATTCTTCATTTTTATTAAATCTAATATGCTCTTAGGAATTATTTAACTACATTTAAAGAGGCTTTACAATGATTATCATCTTTTTGGATCTTCAGTACAGAAATATAGGGGGGGGGGGGGGGAGGACCCGAAAA